CGCTTTTGACGACCACGAACCGAGGGTCCAGGTAGTTGCTCCTTCTCCGGCGCCATAAGCACTCATGTTCTTATCCAAGCAGGTGCTGCATGCAGAGACGAACGATACGCATCAGCTGAGCTACATCCAAGAGTCTCTCGGCAACACCGTGGTTCAGCGCGTCTTTCATGTTCGCATTTTGCTCGACGAACGCACTGTGCTTGCGCACCGAACGATCGCGTCGGACGAGGCGCTGCAACCGTACGACCACGACGAGTCGTTCCAAGAATGGTGCGGCTTTGCCAACTTTCTTGTCCGTCCACACGGCCAGTCGATGCGACTTTTTGTAGGTGTGAGGTCCGAGACATTGGAGGCGACACTTGCCTGGTGCGCGCCGTCGCCTTCACTGAGCCGCGCGCCAGATTTTCGTCGCTCGCCGCGTACATGCAGACGCTGTACCCAGCGCAGTACGCCCTCGCGCTCGACAGCCTCGACGGACACGACGAGGGTAGCCCGTCGTGGGAGCCCTACTTGCATCGCGTCATGCTGACGCATGGTATTGCGTGCGTCGATCAGTGCTTTGCAGCATTGGAGCGCGCTCTAGAGCAGGTGCAAGCGCATCCGAAGGCTGACGTAGCGATATAGCCTAGCGTCTTTATACTTTTTTCTATCGCAACAATCACCAGGGTGAAGGCTGGTTGGTTGGATCCCCTTGTTTGTTGGCTCTGCATTTTTGCGCGCTGTCGGTTCCAATGTCACCAGATTAGGGCAGACGGAGAGGCAGTGATAGATGGCTATGGTCAAAGGCGAGCCTCATGGGGAAACCCCTACGTGCATAGGACACAAGTTTGCACCGAAGAGCAAGTGCGCACCGCGTAGGACAGGATATATTATTCGATGTTACGAGTACCTGGTCTTGTCGTAAACAGTCTAATACTGGGAACAAAATGTTTCTGAACAACGAACTATCTGGGCCATTGGCGTATCGGACGCGCATGTGGCCAAGCCCGAGCCGACGGTGCAGCGCGACAATAAGGTGGATGGTCGAAAGGGTCTCAACCAACCCTCTCGGTGTTCGCCTTCCAGTCAACAGATGTATGTTTAGTATCACGTTTACTCGCGTCCATCGCTCTATTCAGCAAGACTTTCGCATGGGTGTGTGAACGTTGTCGACAGTGTGAATTATCCAACAGATAGATTGGCAGCACTGCTCCGGTCACACGATCACCTTGGCAGGAGGTGCACGCAATTGGCTGGAAGGGTCAACAAATATGCCCTTTATTGCTGCTTGCCGACAGCATGCATCGTAGGCGCTGTGTTTGCTCGCCAACTCGCGCTGGTCGATGCGCTCACTTCCAACTCTGGCTACCTCAAAAAGACGCAGCGGCTTACGCGCAGTCGTCACTCCAGCCAAAGGGATCTCCACGCACACGCTGCGACCACCAACTACCAACGGGTCGCGAAAGACGGTTGCCCCAAACGTGCTGCCTAATAGAAACTTGATCATTGTGCTGGCGGTGCACCTGCTGGTCCATTGGTACGAGCTCGCGTGGGTCACACCCGACGCCATGCTTCCAGGTCAAGTAGATCTCCAGCTCTTCGATGACGAGTCGTCGACACTCGCCTGACGCAAGATGCACCAGCCTCGTGCTCGAGATCTCGTAGCCCAAGGACTTGGTCAAGGCTCACCCGGCCACCCTTCCTCCAACGTGTCTTCCGCTACGACAAACACACAACTTTCGACTGCTGGCTCGTTGATGTGGTTCGCTGAGGACAACGCAACGCACGTCCAGGTTCTCATGCACAGCGTTCTGGTCCTAGTCGTTTTGACTGTGCATCTGGCAGAGAAATCCATCATGCGCTATCCGTACACTCAGGTAGGACGCGTTGACGCTGATGCGAGTCCTCTTGTAGATACGTCGTCCGTGGACTCTCGCGTCTGCGCTGACGTACATCATACCCAACTAGAAATCTACCTGTACTCCAGATGCAACACAATTCTAACCCTCCTGTTTCCAGAAAAAACCTTTGGAGCAAACGTACGTTTGCGATACACTGCCTCGGGTCATCGGGGGGATGGTTTGGAATTTAATACGGGCCCTGGATGAAAGTAGAGCGAGCTCTTTGATCGTCCAAGCCGATTGATATATTGATATATTGATAGTAGAGTGGCAAAACCCGAGGCACTGTCAATCATTCCAATGGTATTAAAACGAGTACATGTGCGGTCGGTCCTGTACATCGCCAAGTATTTTGTTGAAAAAAGCAAAGTAGTGGCGCGAGCAAGCAACGCCGAGCGTGAGCATGAACCGATGGAGATAGTTTTCCCACTCGAGGGACCCGACGACCATATCGTCCTTGCGCATCGCAAGCGCGCGCTCATACTCATGCGGGAATAGATCAAGCACGTACTCGGTCATCGTCTCGTACGCCGCCGCGGGCTCGGCAAACACAACCGAGCGCACAAGGCTCTGGCCATTGCCAATATCTCGAATTTCGTTCCTACGCATGGCCGAAAATGCGGTTTTTCTGCAGTTGAAGCCATACCATTCGCGGCACGACTGGCGGACCACGCGCGGGGCAAACGCTGCGTCTTGGGCGATCGTGCGGGCCATGATCAAGATGCGGTCTTTCTCCATCACGCGGAGATGCAGCACGTGTTCGACCGACGGACCAAACGCTTCCATGAATTCTTCGCGTGCGTAGCTCACGCGCTGGCTATTTTCTTTGGTGGCGTGGAGCACTTGTACGAGACCGTCGGGGATTTGCTTGCCAGGAACGATGTGGTTGCCGTCGGCGCGGTTGAGCGACCACAACGTCTTGGCTGCGTCTTCCATCGACCCGGAAATGACTTGTTGAAATATAAATTGGCGGCCGCGGCGACCCCACTCGACTTTGACCGAGTCCTCGAACGCATGCGGGAAG